AGTGTGGGATATTTAATAGTGAACTGTTTTCCACTATAAGATTTTTTTATTCATTACTAAGCTTTTCATTTTTCGATTAACTGGTAAGTGAAGAGTAAAGTGGAGATCTGATGTGTATACTCTATATGATATATATTAAAAAAATCAAAGAGAATCAAAAGATCAATAAATCAAGTAAGAAAGTTACGTACAATCTTAGACATTCGTTGCTTAAAATATAGTCAGTTGCTCAATAAGCGCAGTTGTGATGCCTGGGGGAAATTTATTAAATTTAATGCTAACTATCGGATTAAATTTACGATTGTTTAATTATTTTTATAGTTATAAATGAAATTTACATTGAAATTTTATAAAGAAAATGTCAAATAAAATTTATAAAAGAATTTTAAATGAATTCGATGCTTGTTGCCTTTATAATGAAAAACAATCGTAAATTTATAAACATTTAATTAAATAACTTAAATAACTAATGTTAACTATTAATTTTAAATTAATTAATAGTAAAGTGTCGGTTGACAGTAGCGTACGGGTATTAATAATTTATATTCTTACTTGACGGTCCAATTAGGCTAACAGATTGGATACAATCATGAACTGAGAAAAAGTATACAAAAATTCGAGAATGGAAAAAGAGAAAAAGAGGCAAGAAAAGCCAATATGGACAGGAAACTCGAGTTAGAGTAATGAACAGTGGAATCAATTTGTCCCTCTGTCCCTTTATTCAAATCATTATTATTGCAGCTTAGAGCATTTTCCTTTTTAGATGACAGTAAAAAGACTTGACGTCAAACGTCTGCCATTTGGGAAACAATACCGATCGCTTATGCTTTCTCTTGAAATTATTTTGCAAATAACTTATCTTCCTTGTTGCTAAGTTATGACTACTAAAATGGAGTTTTTAGCTTTTAAATTTCAATTAATTTCTTATGCCTTCATAGAACTTCCGCGTAATGTCCATAAGCCTCTTAACTCGCAACAATGGTTCGTTGAGCAGAAAAACTTATATACTTAGCTTCATAAGCGAACTGACCTAACGGTACTATAAATAATTGGATCCTGGCAGAAAATAATTCCTTTCTGACATATTGTATAAAAATAGGCGAATTTTATCAATGTATTGTCATTCAATGCCCAGTTGTTTGTAGATACAAAGACTTGTTTCCTTTCAACACCAGCCAGTGGTAGTTAGTACGAGAATCTTAGGAAGAGAGAATGTGTTATTCTATAAAGTTAATGTAGCCAAGTTTGTATTCGTGACAACTTTATTTTGCAAATAAAGTCACCAACCATCCGTCCACAAGCAAGTCAGGTGGCTCAGCAAACAGTTGCTTAAATTAGAATTGCAAAACTAATCCAATTCAATATCGAAATCTATCATGACTAACTTGAAAAATTTACACTGGTATAATAGGCTATTAACCATCTTGTTGTTCATTTAATAACGGAGTCTCATGAAAGAGCCGTTCTGGATGTTGCCCCGGAAAGTCAACCGAACAGACACTGATGTTTTAGAAATTTTCTACAAGATCCTTTAAGTTTAGTTGGCCAAAGTTCCTTTGCCCAGGACTTTACATTTAAACCGAAGCAAAGTTTCACGTGTGCAAGTCATACAGGGCATAATTCCCTCAGGTACCACCTGAAAAACATGGCTTTTTTCGATATGTGTTCATGCACATCCTGCCAAGGGCCGATTAAGAGGTCCCATCACCTTCTATGTGAAAGTAAGGCCATCTGCTGAACCTGACCCCAAGTTTTCGGCGAACACTTTATAACGACGGAAACGGTATGGTGCTTCGAACCAAAGAAGATGGCGTAAGACTTAGTCAGCGCACGACGACACTAATCATGGAGCGCTCAAAATTCATCTTCATCCAAATTCATCACTTTTATTGTTCATTTCAAGAAATCTACTGCCGAAGTCCATCAAACACCTTCAGAGACTTACGGCGCGATGCTGCTCTACCATATCCGAACGATCGGTTCTGGTTTCAACGACTTAAAAGTAGCGACACGAGTTGACCGAAAATGTTATTTTTTGGCAACTTTTTGCAAGAGTTGTCCGGAATACATTGTCGCAATTTGAATGGGAAGTTCTGCCACACTCTGCGCATTCACCAGGCATTGTGCCTCCTGATTGCCACTTGTTCAAAATGGTGCAGCATGCGGCTCCGCAAAGTTGAAGAAGTGCGAAAATGGGTCGGTGGATGGATCGCCGATATAAGTTCTTTCCACATGATATCGCCATCTTGTCAAAACTATTGTGAAATGTTGTAGAAAATGGTGGAAACTATTCGCATTAAAAATGATCAACATTTTTGCAACCCCCCAAAATTTAACGAAAACTTAATGCAGCGAAGGTATTTAACAAAGCTTCAATAATTGCTTCTCTGTCGGTTAGATCAGCCCGATTAACAGAGTGGAACCTTCCGCATGGAAAAAAGTTATTCTATAACAATAAATTTTTCTGGCAAATGCTACGCTTGCGCATTGAACTAAAGGGCGGTCTTTCAAATCACCTCTCGAACTTGAAGAGAAATGGATTGCAATTGTTATGCAATGATTTTTAGGCGAATTAAGCGAGATGGCAATGACGGTCCAGACATAAAATGAAAATCTTTCTTCTAAAGCCTTCGGAATGCTGCAAACCTTCGCCGATGGAGATATGATGGAGAAAAATAAAAACTAATTCGTAAATAAAAATTATAAAACCAGTTTTATGCTTAAAACGACCTTAGAAGACTGCTCATTATAGACATTATAAGCTGAACTGAAGAAGGTCGCTTACTAATAAATATCATCAATTAATAGCCGCTCTTTGATTTAGCATTGATTGCGTTCAGTATGATTGATTTGAATTGTTATTAATTTTCTATGATAATAGACGGGCTATGGCTTCAGGCTAAAGCTTTACCATATGTTGTGATCCCCCTTATGTTTCAATTTTCATATTGAATATAATCACATTCCCGCTTATATATATTTATATATATTTATGTATATATATATCTGTATATATATATATGTTTTAAAATGTCGTCGTTTTTTTTTTTTTTTGGTACATTTTTTAAAATTTTTTTTTTTTTTTTTTTTCACAGATAATTTATTTCATGTTTCAGTTGGCAGACGTGTGCGCTCCCTTGGCAAATTGCAGTAGTCACACTGCATGTAAACAATGTTACGCAACTTTCACAGATTAAAAGTTGTTTAACATGCGAACGGAGGAGGGATGAACACGAACATTTTTTTTGCTACTTGGACTGTTGGACTGTTAGTGATTCACTATCAGAATAAAGATATTTCATTATATTATTACGTAAAATCGCCAATGCACGTTGTACGAGTTTTTCCTAACATTCTTCTACACTCTACACTCGTCGGTTCGTAGCAGTGGATTGAACTACAAGAACTATTTACAGAATGAATGTCACGATTCAATTTCATCGATTTGGGCGAATCCTTTGCGTATAAACGTTCAAAATATACGAGACATTTTACATTTTGTCCTGATGGCTATGTTTATCCTGATACTGGTTAAATTTCGCCAAGCACTTGTGTTAATCCGCCTTTTCCGGGCATTCCTCTGGTGTTTTTTTAAACTTTTAAGTTAATCGCTGGCGAATCAAGCATCGGAAATCTTTATTTCCTTTGATTAGTTCCCTTACGTCTTAGGAAATTTCGTTTTCCAGGGAATTAAACAACTTTCAGGTAGACTTCTTTGCCCGTCGGACCTGTTCCGCTCGTCTATCAGGATGTCCCCTGACTTGAGGCCGATCAAGTCTACCTCACCATTTTTCTAGGTATCTGTCCCACTCATCGGACACCTCATAATGTTCTGGTTAGCTTGTCTAAAAACTATTGATCGCAACAAGTCAAATTATATGAATACGAACGAATGTGATAAATGAAGGAATTTTGATTCTTTACCGCCAAATATTAGCCAAAGCCTTTAAACTAGTAACCATCCAATAATCGTTCAATAATCGTCTGTTTGTTATGGCTTTGATTAATGAGCCCGTACTGCGAACTATCACTTTGACGCTTTCGAGAACTTTCGCGAAACCGTGAGAAAAAAGTGAAACTCTAGGACTCTGGGAACGTAGGACAAATTTGAAATTTTAATATGTAATTTTGATTATTGGTCTTTTTATTACTAGAATTTTGAAAACCATGCAAACTAAGGCGAAATTTATTTTGGTTGGAATTCTATACAAATAATTCGATAATGGATATCCGCTGGTATAATTTGGAAGACATTGGATATCATTCTGTATATTTTTTACAATTAGGAATTGAATGTTGATACTTGCCTGCGAGATTATGGGTAATTTTCAAAATCCAGATGTTTGAGGCGAAAGTTCTTATTCTTTGAATTCGATAAAAGAAATTTTAAAAAGGATATCCGAAGAAATTGAAAAGCGATGGAAAACGGATCTTAACATTTACTATAACTAGGCATTGTGTTTCCGTAAATTGTCTTGTCACGTCTATGGACAAAAAAATTTAATTTTGCATTTGTAATTTCTTGGATAGATGGGTTCATGCTCAATAAAACACCCAAAATAAGTAAGCTTTTCTTCCTTATTACCCCCTGATCACGAAAGGTCGAGCTTATGATTTTCTTTTCCTAATCTAATCTCCTACCCTAATCAAAAGTGAGGCGTTTCGCAGTCTTGTCATTCCCTGAAATAAAGTCTTCTACTCCGATCACCAAAGGTTGAGACGTGCACATGCTGCACGAGTTGCAAAGCTAATAGCTTTGTCTTCTTACCCTAACCAAAAGTTAGTCGTTTCGTAGTCTCATCATTAACCTATTAATGCTTCAAACAAAGCCTAAGTGTTGGATTTTTATCACTTTTCATCTACCTACCATGTACCGTTCCGATCGCGAAACAGCAGTTGTAGAAAATTGAAACTTGACGTATGTATTGCTTACATATTTTTTGTAATATTATATAATAAAGTTAAAATATTTATGTTTTGAAAGAGAAAAAACAACTTACTTCTAAATTGACGACAACATTGCTAAGAATCTCGCCGTTGCGACAATCCTGATCATATACACAGGCCGTGTTCGCAGTACAGGTGATGAAGCGCTTTTGCGTAGTAGTGGTAGCAGCCGTGGTAGACGGTGTTGGAGGAGGTTGATATGTGCAGCATACATTAACCTCAGGTTCACAGTTCTGGAAAATTAAGCAAAAAAGGAAAAAAATAAAAATAAAAAGAAAACCGTATATTAATACAAAAGCATCTCTCTACTCAATGCAAGCACATGCACGCATATAAATTGTTTTGTCGCTGATAAGTCAATATTGATGACTATGAAAACGTAATGGTATGTATGTATGAATACTTAAAAATAAATCATCGATCAAACGTACAAGAAGTGCTTGCGCAAGCGTACTAGTGGCGATGGCAATAGTAGTAGTGGTAGTAGTAGTAGTAGTAGTAGTTGCAAGGTATGCATGCTCGATAAAGATTCAAAAATTAAATTTCGACTTCATTTTTTTCAAATCAATTAAGAATGTCATTTTATGTCATTGAAGACCAGTGCACGATTATAATCATTTGACAGCAAATTTTTGTAACAATTAATGACCACTTAATAAAACGCTAAACAAATATGATAGCATGCGCAGCTAAGATTTTGTGGCTAGCTGGCTCTGTTGGCTCTTAGATGTAGCAACTTAATTAAAAACAGGTTAAAAAGGTTATGCTCCACACGCCATTTTCCAAAAAAAAAAAAAAAACAAAGCGAAACAAAACAAAAACAGAATACAAAAAAAAACAATTCATATGCAGAACGAACGCGATGGCAACGTAGCAAATAAATGGCCTGTCGCTGTACAATTATTTAAACATTTACCAGACGTTTCTTGCGGAGACTCATTTATAACACTCAATGGTGCATTTGGTGGACGCATAAGCTACTTTATGGTCAATTATTTGCATTGACCTCTTCAAGCCGAGCACTTGTCTCAAATGAATGCCACCAGCACCACCACCATCACATTACCACCAATTGAAAACGTTGCAGCAACACCCATGCAACAACACCACATTCGGTCGGACGCGTCTCCAATGCAATGGCAGCGATAAATGTTTAAATGACTTTAACTTTGGCATATGTCATTGTATCATAAAAAAGTCATTACTTTTTTTTCTGTTTTTTTTTGTTGTTTTTTTCTTTTTTTTTTAGCATTCAAGCTGATATACAATACAATAAACAAAACAAATAGAAGAAAACAAAAAAAAAAAAATAAAAAAAACAAAAAAAAAATACAATTTACTTATGGCTATGATAATGGTTTCGCATTGACATTGTTTGTAGGCGTCTGTGAATTTGTTTACATCACCTACTAAAACTTCATGGGTTTATCAAGTTTTCGATTAATCCGACTAAATAAAGTAAGCATTAGAGATCTCTTGAGATGCAATATTAGAACGTAAAGTAAAAATTCGAAAATTTTGAATCCATTTAAAGCAATAATTTTTCAACATCACTTTCGAAAATTTTGAAGCTCTTGGTAGGACGGCAGCACTGTAGTTGTTCAATTTGTTGGTAAGCTTCTAGGGGTGGCCCTTTAGAGCTGGTCCCAATGGTCCTACATACACTTACACACACGCACACACACACACACACGCACACACACACACACGCACACACACACACACGCACACATATATATATATATATAAATAATAGGTCTACTGAAAAGCTCTGCCCGTTACGGTTACTTGTTATAACAAGTTTGAACTACTAAGCGCATAAGCGTTTGCCAATCCTTCTCTCTCTCACTCCCTAGTAAGTATATTGACCTAACAAAAGACGACTTGTGTTAATATTAAGTGAGCGTGGCTACTGATAAAGTTCACCGTCACTGTATTTTGTACGAATTTCAGCAAAGAAGATATGCAACAGAATGATGTAGAAGTTTATGGAAAGTGTCTGGTGAAAGCTCTGTTTCGAATAGAATATGCAAAGGAGGCTTCGAAAAATTTCAAATAGGTGATTCCGAACCTTCTGATAGGCCACACTAAGGCGGAATATTTTTGATTGACGAGGACACTGTCAAGATCAAGTTAGAGCGAAATCATGTTTTCGGCCATATCGGAGATTGGGGAAAGGCTTAATTGGGATCATATTCGGTAAGTGGGATACTAAAAAACGGACAAAACTCTCCAATACACCTATTAAGTGTATATATATATATATATATGTGTATTATATATATATAAAGCTGAGTATGAATATATATATAAACACTTACATAACGTAAGCATGCTGCATGTATAAACCTTCAAAACATACTCAGTTTTCAATTAATATTACTTTAAGGAAAACTGCAGAGGAAAACGAAATAATTAGATACCGTCAAGAATTCATTTACAATGAATTAGTAAATGATTATATTACATACGATAAATGCGATTACGAAAAAAAGTTTATATATGAATGGAAGCTGATTGAACGTTCAAAGGTTAAATAGTTGTAAATTAAAATAAAATATATAATAAATTATAAGTATTGATAAGTAAATAAAATTTATTTTTTTTTAAGATTAATTTTTGTTTTTTTTTTTTTTTTTTTGTTATTTATTTGTTTATTACAACGTATCGTATTCAACTCATTCAGCGTACTTTTAATATGTATTATTTGAATGGTGTTTTTTAAAAGTGGCATAAGTTCATTCTTGACAAACAGTTAGTTTATGACTACAATAAATGCATGATCTGTTATGAGCTTCTTATTTATGAAGAGTTTCCTCAAATATAATCTTGAAAAATTTTTTATCAATTCATTTAATGAAATTACTTGCATAATTATTTCCAAAGTGAAGTTTGCTTCCCGGAAAGACTTTATATGGAGATCAAAAACAAATAAAAACTCAACTATAGTGGAGCTTGTCCCACCATAAAACTTTGTTTAAAACATTTGTTCTGGTAACGAATTTTCAAAATAAATCCTTGTATGGCGTGGTCGCTCAAAAAATCTTCTGAACCGAACCATTCTCAATACCGTTCATCCTTGGGCAAAAATATCTCGGTACAGCCAATTTAATCAAAATACCTTAAAAATTGCGACCATTACGTTGAACATAAGAAAACATGACAAACAGACGGACAGACAAGGTTTAGAATCTCTTTCTGAATCGATCGATATAATAAAAGGTAAGTCTATCTCAAACCCTTTTGGCTGATGCCTACATCGGCACAAAGGTATATTGACCCTTGCACCGCAAATCGTGTAGGATAGAATTATAAGTCCATTTAAGGTCATGAAAAGCATAAATGTTTTTCAAATCCTTAAATATCTTCATACAATATAAAAGGGGCTTACACCACTTTGAAAGAAAGCGGCTCAATTTGTTTGGCTTGGCGGTAATTTTGTTGTTCAATTATATTTTAGCTGATATGTTACATACGTTAATACATATTGTCGCGCGTGTGAATGCGACTTGTTACGTAAGTTATTCCCTTATGCTATTCCATTAAGTTTGACTTCAAGGTTTTCGATCTTGGTATTGATATTTACATGTATTACGGAAGTGCGGGAGTATAGCAAGCTTGGCGGCATAAAGGCACAAAGGGGGCCTCGTCATGAGGAATCATTCATGAAGAGACGTAATCGTAACATTCTCAAGTAATAGAGCGATTGTGGCGTGGGTTATGAAATAAGTTTCCTTTTTCCACCGCTGTAAGATGGGCGTATTCTCATTCTGTTGTTTTTTTTTTTTTTTTTCATAATGTACATAACGCCCAAAAGGAAGCTTTAGAGACCCTATGAAGTATATATATTCTTGATCAGCATTAAAGTCTAAGTTGATTTAGCCATGTCTGTCCGTCTGTACATCTGTGCAGTGTTTGTTGTTGGCGCTCTCCTGGTCGCAAAAATAAAGACATCGACATCAAATTTGGTAGAAACATTGGAAGCACGCACCGAGAAAAACGACAAATGATTAAATTTTATTTTTCTCACTTTTTGGAGATTTTATGCTTATTTATCACAAGGCAAGGAAAACATTGCTCAAACGAAGATATATCATCTGCCTAGAAATGAAAACGGTAGACACCGCGATCACTTTTTTCTTAATAACACTGCCTATGTGGGTATCAAATAAAAGAACTTGTGGAGTAGAATGCGAACAGTGTAGTGGTGGGTATGCGAGATTTGTCCCTTGCCGAACTCAACCTTCTTACTTGTTGTTTAGGTTTACAAGACAGACAAATGGGCAGAGAAGCTTAGATCGACTCGGAAAGTGATTCTGAAAGGAGTGGTGTAGTAAAAGGTGGATTTACGACAAGTCCTTTCTGGATGTTGTATACAGTCGCACGAAGTTGATATACTCTTGTATCATAAGTCAATCGACAATGCCTCCGTTTATTCTAATGATTTTTGAGAATGTATAACCGAAACCATACCAAAGTATTACTAGTTGTGATCGACTATTTCTATTAAGCTTTCGAAATTCCGCATACGATAACCTTGCTTATTTTCGTTTTTAGATAGGTGTAAATGAGTTTCTTCACTCAGAATAATTTTATTTAAATTAATTTATAATTAATTTTCCTTATCTCGTTAATTCGTTTTTCCAATACTTAACGATCTATATCTAAAAAAACTTTTAAATTTTAAGTCATTGTAATTGCCGTTTTATGTAACTGATAATTTTTGTGAGCTCTATCTGAGGTCACAAAAGTCTACCGCGATTGTCAAATGTCTAGATGTTATTTTTTTCTCTAAGTGTATCCTACTGAACGTTGGCAGCATTCTATTTAGAAAATCTGACATGTTGGCTTAGATTCATCAAAATGGAGCTCACTTCGAACTTTCCACACCTGCCATAGAAAGCTAGCTTGTTCGGTAGGGGAAGACTATTCGCTTTCATTCGGACGCAATTCAAAAGAATGCATCCGTCATTGTTACCCTTATGGACGGATAGAGAAAACATACCTAAATAGCTTGTTGATGATGTTATGCCCAGACAAAGTTTGTACCCTATCTACGATCTCGGTTCAGCTATCTCTTCTCTGGAGACCGCAAATATGTTGAAAAACCGCATACGTGCAAAAGCTCATAACGACAAGATTCTAGGATCTGGAATATATGCGGGTTTAGCCATGTTCATCACGGACCTGATTCGCTGTATTATCGCCTATTATTGAAACTCCCAAGGCATCA